GGGAACTTTGTCATATCATTTAAAACTTTAAAACTTTAAACCTTGTCGTGTAACAACATGTACTATAATGGCTAGAAAAACTTTGTTTAACATATTGTAACTTTTTTTTTCTTACAAAACTGCAATAATATTCGATTGTACATAAAAGACATGAACCCTTTCTTAAGGGGAAACTGGCCATTGGGATTTTTTAAACGTTTGTAAGTAACCGATAGGGAGATATGGTCTGCAACGTTTACATTGAATATTGCATCTTTATTTTAGTAAATATTATACATCATTGTTACTGTTTTTTTTATATTTCTAATACTCGCTTTCCATCCCAAGGTGTGTTTTGTTTAAGCACGCATAATCATATTTATTAAAATATATGCATATACGTATTAAAGTCAGATGAAACTAGTTTCTTGTAATTTTCATGTTTTCGAAATTATATAAACAATGCATACATATATACTAAATTAAGTCCACGTTTTCTTTTATGTTTATTACGAATCTATAACGTATTATCGACAAATAATATTTCATTCAGTGATTGTTGATCGCAAGCTAATTAACGTTCGAGTTTGTTAAAAAAATCAACAAAAAGCGGTGGATGCAAGTGACAAATAAGTGAATTTATAGAGCCACGATATATTTTTCCATGCGTTTCCATTTGTTTAGTAATCGTTTCCTTAGTAGTTGTTGAATGATTTGTTGTATTAAATTTGTTCTTAAGAATCAGTTAAGCTCACTACATACGGGAAAATATCGGCGAATTAGTGTACGGGAAGACAATAATACAATAACAGTACATTTCAGAAGATTTTGATAATATAAAGGATTATTTTTTACAAGAAAGTTCACGTACACTTATTTTATAGTAAAACTTAGCCAATTCAAGTCTATAATAGATAATTGTTTTTATACATTTTTTTGGTATTTTGAAGTTTCATATGACTTTAATATATGAGCTGCGTCGTATAGAAATCAACCTTATGCAAATGAATATCAATACATCTGTTATCCTATTTCGGGTTATAAAAATCTCTTTCGAACGTCTGCAACTGTTTGAAAATTGAATTGTTATAAGAACCCTACAAAACAGACCAAATTTCATCTTTCATTTCGTATCTGGATGTTCCAAAATCAATCAAAATCTTATACATGTACATACATGTTTGCACTTGCATAAGGTCGATTTCTATCTGCCGAAGCTCATATATATACATATATATATATATATTTATATAAGTCTATATTGAAAACAACGTTCAAAGCTATGATTGCGTTGGATAAAAACCGCAATTTTTATACGTGTGCATGCAAAACAAATTTCTTGGTAGAGGGGTCTAAATACAGCACAAACAATATTTTCCAAAAGACCAAAAAAGTGAAAAAGTATATTTTAACAAAACGCATTTGACTAGCAGGTCGAACAACGGATGTTCTTAAACCTTGCTGACTGCCATTGACGATTGCCAAATAAACGGATCATCAGATGTAACAAGATGGATCTTAACTATTAATTTAATACCAAACAGAAAACAATAAACTTGCGGAAAAGATGGTATACCGCAAACAAATGGTGCAAAAATTAGTACACCATATCCGAATTTCGACAATTAATGTCTCTTCAGTGATGTTAGGAATCGAAACGGTATTTGGAAGGCCATATAATTTACCTCAATTAAGGATAGACCCTTAAATTGTGAAGAGTCGTAATAAGATGAACGGATCATATAAACCCGAAGGCAAATATAATACAAGCCCAAACGAAAAATTATAAACAAGTCTAAATTGAAAACAACGTTCAAACCTATGATTGCGTTGGATAAAAACCGCAATTTTTATACGTGTGCATGCAAAACAAAGTTCTTGGTAGAGGGGTCTAAATACAGCACAAACAACATTTTCCAAAAGACCAAAAAAGTGAAAAAGTATATTTAAAAAAAAAACGCATTTGACTAGCAGGTCGAACAATGGATGTTAATGTAGGCTTTGCTGAATCTTAAATTAAATGAAATGTACCACTATTTTATATTTTATTAACAAAGTATTTATAAAACAATAAATAATTTAAACTGTAAAAAAGAAAATCACAAGGTTGTCAACAAGTCAACCAATAAGATACTATCACAGAAACTAGACGTTACAATGATATTTGTTCAATATTTACATATGTTCGTAAGTGTCCATTGATACAGCCGCGGCATGAGTATTAGGATTTGGATCAACATATTGATTCACATTAGTTTGAATATCCTCTGAATAGTCTGAATGTTCGTCATATACATCAGACACCCCTTCGTTAATTGAATTGTCGATGGACGTCGTCATATGAGAAATCGATGAAGATCGTTGATTGTTCTTTCTTGTTGCATTTTGGTATCTGAATCTGAAACATAAATAGAACATTATTAAAATCACAATGTACATCTACATGCCGAGTACAAATTTTTAAAGAAAGTACTTTTAGATTTATATCTAAGACTTCCTCTTTCTTTTTGTTGTGTTTTTCAAAGTTTCCCTACCTGCATAATCGTTTAAGTTTTTTCTCGAATAACGAATTTTAGTATTCAATTTGCAATGTTTATAATATGTTAAAATGTACGAAACACTACAGTTTTTCTACCCCACGCATACATTTCCTAATAGTATTTGGCATTTTTTTTCTAAAATTTCCGGTTTTTAATGCTCTTTTACTTCATATTTAGTTTTAATTTATTTTGATTCGAGCGCCGCTGATAAGTCTTATGTAGACGAAACGCGCGTCTGGACTACCAAATTATAAGCCTGTTGAGTGTGATGAAAATTTTCTCTGCTTTAACTCCGGAACAACTTTTCGTTAAAGAAAGCTTTTATCATAATTTATATAACATTAATGGAACCAATTTTTCCACACCAGAGGCGCATTTCCACAATTAATGTTTTTTTTTCAGTGATGCTCGAGGCCAAAATATTTGAAAGTCAAAACCCTTATACAAATGTATAACTAGCACTGTGTTGATATTGCTGCTGGTGATCTGTAAGCTCAGTAGTCAGTACGTCTGTATCGACATGATTTACACATATACTTATATATAAAATTCCTCGATCATAAATCAAGAAATTATTCAGAAACTTAGGTTTAATCTCCTTTAGCCAAAAAAAAAGACCTTATTTGGTACTTCTGTTTACTTCCTTTTTGGTCAAATAGGTCCTAACCTTGCAGCGTATTTACGCATCCTCGGTTTCAAATAAATATGTTTAGCTTTCCTGGTGCAGGCTAATCAAGTAAAGCGCTTCATCCTTCCAGATATCAATACGATACATTTAACAAAATTCTCAGGAAATAAAATTTGTAAAATATTGGCACATTATAATGTTGCAAATTTCTTTCTTGTTGTTTTTAACCCCTTTACAACCTTTATTGGTTTATATGTATTCCCGTGTAAACACCTATTTTGTCTTGTCGGCGATTCACTTCTGAGAACTTTAGGCGAACTTTATTCTAACATAATGACCTTAGAATGTAAAGGCATAATACGTTGCATGTACAGAAAATTTTAATATCCTTATACTCATTGCATATCAATTTTGCTTCTTTCCATTCATTTCAAATGTATGTGGCCACTTAAAATGACAATATCAGTCTTGTAGTTTCATTCTTCCTTTTAAACAACTTTTGGCTTAGTTTACTTTTTGTTTTCACTTGTATCACCTTAGATAAACCAAATTAAATTAATTAGCGATAATATTAATAATATTGAAAATTGATTGTTGAACTGCAATAACATCGAAAATGAATTATTCTAGACCAATGAAAATACTCAGGTCCTAACTGAACTCATCTTATAATTAATAGTTTTAAATACACTGAATATAAATATGTCATTTGCATTTCAATCCTTTCATTACACTTTAATCAATGTCTATTTCAATGTATAATAATTTTGTAATTGAAATCCATAAAATTCATACGCCAGTTAAGAGTCTAAGAGTCATTAGCTAGTTAGTATTTAATATGCCATTTCAGTTATTGACCCAAACAAAATTGTATAACGCATAATGCATTGAAGAACAGCAAACGTCCAAATAATGGAAAAGAAGAAAATCATTTCATTGCCATACCTTCAAAAAGCAGAAAATACAATGTGAAAGCAAATTTAAATAATGTCTAAATCCTTAGTAAATGAAAAAGTAACACAAGATGAAAATAAATGAAGCAATACATTAATTTAATTGTATTCATTATCTTTGAAATTTCCATTTGACATTGATTTTTTTTCAGTTTAAAAGAAATTTGTATTTAATTTTAGTTATTAGCTTGTTCTACCTAAAAAAATAACGTTTACTAAATGTGAAATATAAATGCAGATTTTCGTCTAAGTTAGTTAAAAAAAACCCAAAACTGGTAATAAATGATTTTCATTTTTATCTATCGGAAAATCAAAAAAAAAAAATGCACTGTTTCATTCCTTTCATTTCCAGTGTAAGTTTAACACATAGATCAAATCGATATGGACATAGTTTTTTTTTACAGAATAATGTAATTAATGACTGTACTATAGTAAAGTATAGCAATATCGAGATTGACATATGTTTTTACAGAATAACAGAATAATGTGATTAATCACAGTACTATAGTAAAGCATAGCAATTTGGTCGGATAGGTTAGATAAAGGTGTCTAAGTCTTATTTTTACATTAATTCAGAAACGAAATGTATAGTGTGTATCTAAAACAAAACATAGCTATTCCTATGTATGGTTAACATTGTTTGTTATATTAAAACTAGTTTATCCAAATATTTCTTTCTAAATTGTAGTTTTGTGTCACTGAAATTATTTGTATGCACTGATTGAAATAAGACAAACATGTGTTTATAACTTCAAGGTTCACACACTTAGTTACTGCTTATATCACTGCAGATTGAAAGATTGTTTTTGAATTTACACGAATATTAAATTAATCCAAGAGAAATTGGACTCTTAAAGTTGAACTTTTTGGCGTAAGTATACATAGTCTATATATTACAACTTACCCTTTCGGTTTAAATCCAAAGATTTCTTTCGCTTTTTCACGGAACACTTTGTTATATGCAGTATACCATACGAAGTTGAGCGAATAATTTGAGTATTGAAATAAATACAACACCGACCAAGCGACATCCTTCCTTGCGTTATTTAAATCATCTTTAAATTTCACATAAGAATCGTAGATGAAGTAAACACTTATAGGGACTGTAGAGAGTAAAAAGTATGCGCTGTTAAAAAGTAACATTCGAGTGAGTTTCTTACTGAATTGTCGTCTATTACCTCTTCTCCTGCTACATCGTGACTGAACAACGGAAGCGCTCCTAAATTCATGATGTCTCTTTAAAGCTCTATAAATAAATACATTTAGAATCAGCATTATTAAGAAAGGCAACGCAGATAAAATAACAATATCTATATATACAAAAACAAATTCACCGAAGTTGTGGTATTTTTCGTTTAAGTCATCGCATTCTCCATCTATTATTCCGTTGGTCCAGAAGAAATGCAAGTCTATCCCTACTAATATGATAAAAAGAATTAAAACAATGAGGCATGTTTTCTTCATAGTTGCTACACGCATGTATAAAAATGGAAAATTTGTTTTGAGAAATCTATCAATGATCATACAAACAAGAATCCATGAAGAGTACTGCATAGCAAAATAAATCACAAATAAATTGATTTTGCAGCTTGCATCTGACAAAGTTCGGATGTCTATTTCAAAAGCATAGTTAATCCAATAGCGTAGAAGACCATCTAACAAAACTGTTATATCCGTTATGGCTAAAACGACTAATAAAAACAATGGCGTCCGTCGCCAAAATCGCATTTTTCTCAGAACAGCAATGCTTAAACAATTTCCAAATACTCCAACAAGAATTAAAACGGGCGACACATACGTCCATAAGTAACTTTCAACTGAGTTTAATGTGGAGACTTCATCAATATTGAAACTTTGTTCTGAAGCGTTTGAATTGTTGGCTGATGTGTTAAAAAGGTACAGAGATCCATTTTCATTTTCGTGAAGTGTCTGCAATACTGTGGTCATTCCTGTTGTATTGAACAAGGTTAGATATGACATTCTCTTGCTGGAACTTATAATGTGTTTCGTAACATTCATAATCGCCGTATATCACATTTTCTCTGTCAACAATGTAACGTTACAAAATAATAAGCCACATCGTATTAAGGTAGAGTTCACGTGTGTTTCTAAACTGAAATCTCGCATTGTTTTAATAATGTCCTCAAATATTGTAACAACCCACGTGAGTGTACTCCAAATTAGTTACAAATGCACACTGTGCAACTACTTAAAAAGTTCGTGGAAGCCTATCCATTTAAAGATATAGAGTGGATGAAATGAAATCATGTATTTGGATATGATATAATCTTGTTGATTACAATGTCATTATCTAAACTATGAGGACCCTTTTATCAAATTTCACATATGCCAATCAGGAAGTGTTCTTAAACAAACATAGGTCTAGTCATTTTTTTCCAAATTTTTCAAGATCGATTTATTATGTTCCCGTTTATTTCAAGTCTGTATACATTTCAGCAAAGAGACATATTTATGCACTTGTACTGACAAACCTTTTCATACACTGTCCGTTTCAATGTATTTTTTCAAAGCATATGAGATAAGATGGATAAATATAGAAACCGAAAACAGCGTCTACCTTTGAATAGTTTTAAACAAATGTGTATATTGGTCATTGAAATAACACTTTAAAACAATTCATTGTACAGATGTACCCTTAAATTCAATGTGAGTGAGCGTGAATGGTTGACTAAGAATATTTCAGAGTTATTGTCTTATTTTATTTTTACAATGTGTCCGTCCTATTATTATGCAAAACGCGGGATATGATGTATACTTTCATAAAACACAAGTTGTTTATAATTTTTTGTTCTAGGATAGTCGAATATTCTATTTTTATTCATTTATACAGTAATCAACTTTTCGCTCTATCGAATAAAGTTTTTACTTCATGGTTCTTAAGTGTTGTTCACCTACCATGAGGGTGTGGATCGTGGTTTGCAGAATAGAGAATAATAGGGAAAAAATATAAAGAATAGAGAAAAATGGACCAAAAAAATAAAAAATAGAGAATAATGAGGTTTTAAAATATAAAGAATAGAGAATAATGGCCTCAATATTTAAAGAATACAGACATGATGGACCCCCCATCCAGACCCTCTACCAAAAGTAATTAATAATGGTTAAACACGATAACAAAATAATTGTCGGATTGTAAGTTTTATTTTAAACCTTTGTTATCATTAATCAGTAAACTTGTACACTGAAAATAATACGAAACAAAAAAAAATCTACTGACAAGAACCCCTGGTCATGACATAATAAAACGAGACGACCTATATATATACTTTTTTCTGATAAACCGCTGTAGATACAAAGGTACACAGAAGAACATAAACATTATACAAAAATACAAAGGTACATATGTTAAGGAAATATACAATAATACAAAGGTACATATATTGAGGAATATACAATAATACAAAGGTGCATATGTTGAGGAAATATACAATCAATACAATAGAGATACATAGATATGATTACATGATAAACTTGTGCAGTGAAAATTAAATGGAAGACCTTAAGGATGAGGGAGAATGTTAATTTAGAGAATCCACATCATCGTTCCTAACTCTAATAAACTTACACAAAATTCTAAGCTTAGATTGTTTAGATGTATTTATAAGTTCCCTGCACTTAAGAATATTACAATTTTATGTGATTTTTTTTTTATCTAACTAAAGTATTCTTTTTTTTCTGTTGTAAAAAGTTGCATTTGAGGAGATAATGGTATTCATCACCAATATCGCCATCTTCACATAAAGGGCATGTCCGATTTTCTCTTGGGATATAAGACCACCTCCCACATTCTATTGGCAGTTTATGATTTACAATTCTAAAATTTACAGAATGTAAACATATCTGTGTCACTTACAATGTAGTACATCGAAATACTTTTCAGTTGTAAACGATTCTTTAAACAGTCTGTCATTCAAATGCTTTGCAGAGATTTCTCCTCTTGAGTAAATTGGTCTTCTAACGTAGTTTTAACAATTCGCTTAAGCTAATTTACATCACAAAAAGTTTGATATGTCCTTATAAAGGAATGTCCACATTCGTTTAGGATGTTTTCTATGCTTTGTGGCCAAGTTGATCGTAATTTGTTTCAAGTGCCATTTGAGTCATTAATTTATAAACAATTGAGCACATTTTTGTCTCTTATCCGTTTAACTACTTTGTCAAATATAAAATAATTCTTATTTTAATATCAAAATCTGCCTTACTCGCTATAAATCATACAGTTAGGTGTCGAAGACTTAACGTGGAGTATAAGTTAAACAAATTTCAGATCAATTTTTTCAAGCACATCATTGTTACAACAATGTACCAAATCCCCATATTTCACAACCATATAGTAGAATCGGTTTTACAAGTTTGTTAAAAGGGTCCATTTGACAAAAACTACCAAACAATGTATTATACTTAGTAGTTCTATTTAACTGTTCGGCAAATTTGCGTTTTAATTGATTTTAAACGGTAAAAAAATAATTGTAGTGGGCAATCAACTACAATAACTAAAGTATATGCCCATGAAATTAAAAAAATCACTTGAAGAATGTATCAGTTTCATACATATTGATAAAAGCTCAACGCACCACTTACCTTTAATAGTGCTGTAATATCACACCATTGGAGTTAATTACTGTAAATTCAGATATTATTACGAGGTTTTTATTAATGCGAATAATGCGACTACTTGAGTATCGCAATAATAAGAACTCACATTCTGATATCAAATACATATATCTGTATGTAGCTTTTCCTAAAATCGCAATAACTAAACTCGCATTTTTGTTAATTCTTCAAAAATCGCAATAATAAATGCACTCAATATTTTCTGAATTTACAGTAATTCATTTGATCTTTAATGATCATAAAACAACTAACAAAATTACAAAAGACATAAATTATCGATCTAAGAGAAGTCGAAGTTACATATATCCAAGTTGTAACGATATTACAAACCTTGCTTTCCTTGATATAAGGTTGCTGCTTACAAGAAATCTATCAAAGCAAGGGATCCTAATTGTTAGGTTGAAATCATCCATTCGACGTTTAACAGTCTTTTTTGATGTGGTCTGCCGTTATTGTGTCACAGATGGCCATGGACATGTTCCATGGGTTATTTCCAATCGTGTCCTTTTTTCCTCAACTGTGACATCATCAAACATGACATATAACCGATGTTTATTTACTATGAGCAACATAACGGGTACCACTAGTAGAGCAGAATCAGCTTACCCTTCTAAATCACCTCAGATCAAGCCTGTTTTATTGTAAGGATATTTTTTACCCGGTCTTTAGTTTTGCGTGTAGTGTTTTGTAGACTGTTGTTTTTGTTCGTCGTTTTTCTGTTTTGCCATAATATTGTTATTATATTTTGATTTTACCGACTAAATAATCTTTTATTTTATATCCCTTTGCATCTTCTGCATTTTGATTTACTAAAATCTACTTAAATTCTAATTGCAATTTTGAATAGGCCTGTTTGATTTCAGCAATTATAAGTAACTTCGACAATGAGCAAAACTTATACCGTGAAGTCAGCTATGAAAGGCCCCGACACGACAATTTGTGAAACAAATGAAACGGAAAAACTAAATGGTCTGAATTATGTATATATATATATATATATATATATATATATATATATATATCACTTTAGACTTGTTTATATTTTTTCGTTTGGGCTTGTATTATATTTGCCTTCGGGTTTATATGATCCGTTCATCCTATTTTGACTCCTCAAAATTCAAGAGTCTATCCTAAATTGAGATAAATTGTATGGCTTTCCAAATACCGTTTCGATTCCTAACATCACAGAAGAGACATTAATTGTCGAAATCCGGATATGGTGTACAAAAACCTTTGCACCTTTTGTTTGCGGTATACCATCTTTTCCGCAAGTTTATTGTTTTCTGTTTAGTATTAAATTAATAATTAAGAAAAAATTATTACATCGGTGATCCGTTTATTTGGCAATCGCCAATGGCAGTCAGCAGGGTTTAAGAACATTTGTTGTTCGACCTGTTAGTCAAGTGCGTTTTGTTAAAATATACTTTTTCACTTTTTTGGTCTTTTGGAAAATGTTGTTTGTGCTGTATTTAGACCCCTCTAACAAGAAATTTGTTTTGCATGCACACGTATAAAAATTGCGTATATATATATATATATATATATATATATATATATATATATATATATATATATATATATAAACAAGTCTAAATTGAAAACAACGTTCAAACATATGATTGCGTTGGATAAAAACCGCAATTTTCATACGTGTGCATGCAAAACAAATTTTTTGGTAGAGGGGTCTAAATACAGCACAAACAACATTTTCCAAAAGACCAAAAAAGTGAAAACGTATATTTGAACAAAACGCATTTGACTAGCAGGTCGAACAACGGATGTTCTTAAACCCTGCTGACTGCAATTGGCGATTGCCAAATAAACGGATCACACGATGTAACAAAATGGATCTTAATTATTAATTTAATACCAAACAGAAAACAATAAACTTGCGGAAAAGATGGTATACCGAAAACAAAAGGTGCAAAATTAGTACACCATATCCGGATTTCGACAATTAATGTCTCCCCAGTGATGTTAGGAATCGAAACGACATTTGGAAGGCCATATAATTTACCTCAATTAAGGATAGATATATATATATATAATATTCATAATTATTCTAAATATCAGCAAAACAATATTAAACTGCAAATATATATATATATAACTTGTCTCAAATTTAAAACAACAATGTTAGATCTTCAAATATGCGTTAGTGAATTTTTGTTCTTCCCTCAGCGGGATTCGAATCCTTGCTTCTGTAACATCGTGGCAACACCGCCTGCACCGTGTCCAGCGCCCTTGACCACTCGACCACATAGACTACATAAAAATATAGCTTTCGGTGGTCGATGTAATGCCTTTCCTCG